ATTATTCTCAATGGTCATTCAAGGCAAAAAGAAAGAGAAATCATAAAGATTTTATGAGTTTGTTAATTCAATAACAATTGAAAGAGAACAACTAAACTTGATCCACTTAATTCTTTGTCTTGTTTTACCCTTATAGATTCATTAACCACATAAAGAAAATTATATATAACTTTATGGTTTAGAAATAAATAATAAAAAAATACTAATGAAAAAATATATATGCAATGCAGTAAAAATAAAAAATATTTAATGTAGGAGAAATAATAAATTTTGATTTTTGATGATAGATTAAGAAATTAAAAACTATTTGTGAAATAAATAATATTAGATGTAGTAAAAATAACATTTAGTTTTTAAAAAAGAGTAAATAGGATATTTTTATTAAAATTATTAATAAAAAACATTTATAGTTATATAATAAAAATGGTAAAATATGAAAATAATTATTATTATTTTCATATTAAAAAATTGGGTTTTTTACATAAATAAAATAAAAAAATTAAAATTACGTATATACACTAAAATAAAAAAATTTATATAAATGTCCTAAATTACATAAAAGTCGATTAAAATCAACTTTAATATCAATAAAAAAGTACAGTTAAATCGTTTTAGTAGCGTAACAATTATAATCGACTTAAGTTATACGAAGAAGTGGATTATAATCACTTCATTTGAAAAAAAAAATTAAAACACCCAGCAGATTCAGTGTAGGATTTGGAGAAAAGAACCAAAGCTAATGGAGACCCTTCTATTGCTTGTGTTACGTGGGAGGGTAGTTATAAGATTGAGATTGGTGAAAGTGTGACAGTAGCAGCTTACAGTAAAACATATAAGCGAGGTTCCACAGACACACTTCTCTTTGTTTCTCTGTCACGGCCATTAAAACTCTCTGCGATACATCACATGGGAGGTGAATTCTTATTCCACTTCTTTCACCGTTTCTTTTCATGTCTTCAATTACATACTTTCATTGTTTTGTTATCAACACTTTAAGACATTAACTAATCGCTTTTGAATTTGAAAAGTCCGTCAAATTAATTTCAATTGAGTAATAATTGGAATCGAAATTGTTCTGCGTTGTTACAACTTTTGTCAAATTCCCGTGCTCTATGCTTCAACAGATAGATAGAGCTAAAGTAACAATTTCGGTCACGGGATGACCACAAAGATAGCATTGATGGAAAATCAATCGGTAGGAAATGATAGAAAAGGATTTTAATTAAGAATTTGATAAAAGTGTAAATGTTTGTATGCACAACATCAGGAAAAATTGTCCAAAATGTTTTTGTGTCATGCTGTTACTATCAAAGTGTGGACTATCACACTTGAGAGGACGCTGTAGAGTTGAGAAATGAAGCTGTTGAAACCATTGCCATGGCTCTCTCTGGAGTTGATAAACATGTCGTAGACCCATTGAGGATTCAAAGACGAAGAAGAATTTATTGATTGATGAAATAATTCATCCCATTAAAGATTCAAAGATGAAGAAGAATTCCCTGGTTAATGGAAGAATTCAACCCATCAAGGATTCGAAGATGAAAAAAATGTTGTTTGAGTACTGATTTGATGAAAGAAATTAAGGTTAACCTAAGAAAGGTAAGCAAAAATGAAAAACATAGAATTATGAATACCCTTTAGTCTTTCTTTAATCGCTGATGCTGCTGGCAAGCAAAGTGCGGGACAAGTATGAACGCACTCTGCATCTTTGCTGTAATCACTTTTCTCAACAGAAGAAGTCGATTATAATCGACTTAAGTGTATAACTCAAGTGGATTATAATCGGCTTTTTTATTATCCTGCTAAAGATAATTTAAATTAATTTTTATATTGATATTGAAGTCAATTTTAATAGACTTTTAGGTAATTTAAATTAAGACATTTATGTAAAAAAATTTATTTTAGTGTATATACGCGATTTTAATTTCTTTTATTTTATTTATGTAAAAATCCAAAAAAATTAAATTCATAAAAAAATAGTTATAAAAAATAACAATTATGTCATCAAATTTATTTAAAACATTACATATTTAAAATAAAATCTATGATTTAAGAAACAAAATTGTTATTGAATAAGAATAATAAAATTAAAAAAATAATGAATTCATTGTTTAATATAAAGAATTAAATAAATAAATTAAAGGTGATAAAATTATGTATTTGTTTAAAATATATGTTGATTTATTCTCCCGTTGCATACTCATTGTCATCCCTTACACAAACACAATAAATTTACTTCTAACAGTCGTGTCACAAAAGAATAAGTTTGACCAACTGCAACATCCACATATATCTCAACTACATTTCTATGATGTGATTGTTGACACGCATTTATCATGCAATCTATGTCTTCATCATCACATACATCTAAAGTTGTATGGTATCGACCATTTGTCCCAACTAAAATACGTAAAATTAATCTAGAAATTACTTGACTACTAGACAATTTCAATTTTGTGTGGATCTTCCTTTAAACATCTCAAGTGTGATCCCTCGTTCTATCTTAATCATCTTTTTCTCCCTTTTAAAAGTTATATCCTCATTTCCTTCATATATTTTACTATTTAAATATAATATAACCACAATTTCATTCATCTTCCATTCAAAATATTTAGTCATCATAAAAAATTTATAATATAACAAATTTATATTTATTATTAAAACAATAAATCAGAAATTAATTTGTAATTACAAATATTTAAACAACTAATTTTTAACATTACATTTTATTTTTCTATTTTCAAACATAATAAACAAATTAATTAACACACTAATGCTAAAAATATTATCCATTTTCTAAATAAAAAATATTATTTAAAATCAAATAAACCTAAGAGCCAATGAAAAAAGAATTATATGAATGTGTAAAGGCTAACCTGACTGTGAATTTTCTCTTCGTGCTTCACGGTTGCTATCACAAATTTATGTATTTATAGGCCTTCAAAATTAAACAAAAGGATGTATCAAAATTTTTATCCGACGGTCACACAAAAGTCGGTTCAGTTTGGACGACATTGGAGTCGTCCCTGAGATGGCGACAATAATATCAATTTTGATCTGGACGCTACAAAAACATCCCACATATGGACGACACAAGTTCTTTTCGCAACACGTATCATCACCTCGTTAGTCTTGTACCATTGTGAGCCGACAGACTAATAGCTTGCCACATCATCATAAGTGTCGTCCTTTTCCTGGACGACACTCGTGCCACGTGGCATTCCCACCCCAAACAGGGAAATGGTTTTTCTAGCTCTTTATTTCGGTAAATTTTTTTTAATTTACTCCAATATGGCAAAAAAACCTTCAATCATAATTAGGTCTCTAGGTCCCTCAGTGTTATTAAGCACTACTACTTCAGAACCAACATCTATGTCCCTTTTATTAACATTTAGAACAGACTCTTTCTTACTCATTAAAGAAATTTCAGCACACTACTCTAGTTTGTGACCATACTTTCTACATTTAAAGCAGATGAAGTGTAGCCCCTCATATTTTACCTTAAATTCCTAACCCGATACTTTAAAGGTTGGGACTAGATTCCTTCTCAGGTCAATTTCTATACACATCCTAGCAAATTTTTCCTTGAGATTAGTGAGGTGTGGGGGTCCACTTTCAGCATGGACCCTAAACAGTTATCTACTTACTACAAGAATTTATTATTAGAGTTGAAGAGTTAAATCAGGTATAGGCACTCACACAACTATTTTCTTCATATTATAGTCTGCCTAAACAAGGGCTTCCATCTTTAGACCAACGAGTAATGATTTAAAATTAATCAAGGCCCTTCAAATAAGGTCTGTTTATAGTCCTCTATGTTCTCGAATTTGATTAAGAAAAAATCATTGTTCAAGTCAATAATTTTTAAGGCCCTACTTTTGCCCAATATATTACCCAGTTTTAAGGAAGCTAAAACTAATGGACTTACCTAGAGTTTAAAAATTAGTGTAAATTTTCAGGGATTACACCAGTCTTTGTACTCATCTAAGGGAATCATAATATTAGGATATAGATTTCTAGAATTTTAGGCAAATCACTTGATCTTTAGTCTCGTGCAGAATATTAAAATCATCCAAAACAGATTTTATTATTTCTTCATCATTCAGAGTTATATTAAGATCTTTCAACTCTAACATAATATCTTTTTACGAGCAAGAATTAGAAACTCTAAATTTAGAAAACAACTTATTTACTTTTAAGATATCCGGTGTCTAGTCCTCCTGCATGTGCAAGATTGGTGTCTCCAATAAACTTTCTATGTCAATTTTGACTTTTTTTTGTGTTCCAATCCATGAAATCCAACTCCTCGTAGATCGCTTTCCGCTTCATGATGTTCCATACTCTCAGCGCACCAGAACAATGAATAGAAATCAGATCTCTTTCTTCACGTGATGCTCTGATGTGCTTCTCTCAATGCAGAAACTACGCAACCCTCGCAAGGCAACGAGGGTAAGATACCCTAGCCCCGCTCCTTAAGCGTCTCCAAAAAAAAAAGAAAGAAAAGCACGAGTTCTTGGAACCTTTCTTTAACAACACGTGATTCACTTTTTTATTATAATATTTTAAAATAGAGGAAAAAGTACGGCAATATGTACATATTTTTAAGAAAGGGAAATGTGATTTTACTAAAAAAATATTATACGGCTGATGTTGTATTAAAAATTATATGGACCATTTAATATTCTTATTACTGTTGTTGCTGGATGAATAATTATATCAATTAATGCCGTTGTTCAAGTGAATTTTATTATATAAAAAAATTGCTAACAAGTATTTTTAGAATGCTTATTAAGTAAAATAGTAATTTTTTTATAATAACCTGTTATTAATGTATTTTAATATAATTTTTAATAAATTTATTTTATTTATTAATCAATAGTCTCACGACAGCATCAATAGGATTAAGAACTACACTAATATTAAAGTATCAACTACTTGATTAATTAGAATTACATTTTTATCATGAAATTTCTTTTAACACAAGAAATCATATATTGATTTCACCGTCTCACCCGCCCATTCTGGACGAGGGCAATATGCACCATATCTATACTGTGATGTGCATCGGACTCACCGGAACCAAGCTCCGGCGAACGGTGGATCACCGCCGGCGAAGGCGTGGCATCGAGGCGACAAACGGGACAACTGGAATGGGAATGGAGCCACGTGTCGATGCATGGCACGTGGAAAGAGTGCATACACTCGGGCAAAGTCCTCAACTCTTCACCCTCCTCAAAGTCTCCCAAACACACTGCACACGCGTCGTCCTCATCACCGTCACCATCTGCCACGTCATCGTCATTTTTCTTCTTCTTTACGTACTTGTGGGCTGGAATCAGGTGCGACAGAGATGCACTCTGTTCCCTGCTCCGCGACGGCGCTGACGGTGATGGCGCAGTTATGGACCTTTCTTGTTGGGAGGAGTTGTGGTTTGTGGCGTGAGGGTGTTGGTTGCGGCAAAGGATTATGAGATGGTAGATTGTGAGCACAAAGCTAGCAGTGCCCATGGCTATTAGTATGGCACTTACTTTGCCAGTGAACAGAGATTGGTGATCATCCATTGAGAGAAATGTAGCAATCACTTCAATTTGGGACTCAAAAACAGTGAAAGCCGGCAAGGAATTGCTTAGCTTCTGTACAATCTTTTTGTTTGTACGCACGTTGACGGTGATTGCAAGAAATTACTTGTTGTTATTTAATGTCCCTCTATCTTTGAGGTTCTCTCAGGGACCGAGTTGGGAGCTACCTGCAAAATTTATCAAGGTAGCTATGATATATTAAAAGTTAATTGTTTATTATTCAAGAACATATTTTTTGCAACTTTGTCATTTAAATATTAAAAATTAATAGTATATGTACATTATTATATATAATATAAAAAATTTATATTTTTTATTCATGCATCTGACAAATACATTCTAATTATACGATAGATACCTAAAATTTCTTAAAAATGATTTTTTTTAATTAACCTCAATGTTACTAATGAAATTCTACTGTTTGGAGAATGAAACATACATTTATTGAACTAATATCTTCTACAGTTGTACATTCTAAAGTTAAAATCTCTCTTACTTTAATTGTTTTACTTTTATATACATCTTTATTAATTTTATTCTAAATTTTAGAGATTAAAGTTATTATTTAACTTTTAGATTTTTTATTGAATATCTATTTTTTACATTTATAAAACTTATCTTTTTTCATTTTTTAAATTAAGAATTTTTTTTATGAATTTTATCACTTAAATTTATAGCTATTAATATATATATTTATTATTGATATTTAATTAAAAAGCTCTTTTATAATAAATCACTGAATTATTTAATTTCATTAAATTTTTTATTCGAATACATAATATTCATAATTACAAAGTTAAGTTAAAATAATTTTTAAATTATATTATTGTTAACATATTATTATTATTATTATTTTATAAAAATATAAATTTTTGTTCTTTAATTATTAAATTGTATCTATATTTGTTTTTAAAAATATATATAGGTTATTAAACTATTTTATTTGATGGACTCCTCAATAATTACTTAAAAAGGTACAGCTTGTTTTATTAAAAAAAATCGAAAGTTTAAATGTACTCCTCCTTATCTTTAGGGCTTTTGTGAAAACGTTTTACAATTTGTTTATTTGTTCATGATAGATAATAGCTTAGTTAAAAGTGATGAGGAGAAAACAAACATAGCTAGGTGTGTGGTTTGGTTTGAACAGTATTCATGTAAAAAAGTAATTGAACAAAATTTTATGAACAATAAGTCAAAATCAATTATGTAACTTAAATTTTGGATAAATATGAACTGAAAACACTTTTAAAATAAACAGAAATAAGTAAGTTGATCTTAACATATAAAAAATATTTAACTCATTTTTCTATTATTTTATTTTCTTATAAATATTTCTTTGAATTTAAAGTATCAATTAATATTTTAAACAATACCCTCGTATCCCTGCAAGAAGACCACATATTTAACCAGGCAAGTCCAACATTAAGCAAAGTTCTGCTAACTTAGACAAAATTTCAACATTCTCAACGGAGCTTGAGTAAACAACAACGATTCTGCCATTAACAACTGTCTCACCATTGTCACTTTTTTTATAGTGAAAATTCCCTTTACCCCCCTTTTGAAGATGGGTTCAAAAATCATAGAGCAAAATAAATAAATAAATAAAAACAGAAAAACATCTAACCCAACCTAATCTATTGTGTTTTTGTGAGTTGGATTGAACCCAACCTACATAATTCAGTCATCTAAAACATTAAATAATTAACCACATAATTTTTTTTATTATAAATAATTATTCTCAATTTTTACTACCTTTTATCTTTCTCAGTTATAAACAAAAGTTACCCCACTTTATTATACAAAAAACATTTTCCAACCAATAAACAATAGTTATGACTCGCACCCCTACCATTCTACACACAAGTCTTCAATGTCAGCAAAGGGTCACCCAAGCAAGCTATACAAAGCTCAACCAGTAGGTCAGCACCTCTTGTTGGCTAAGGGTCTAATATTTAGGACTAAATTATATTATTTCTTATTTAGAATAGACAATATATACTGTAAAATATACTTAAAATTCAATTTAAAATATATTTATACACAATATCCTACATAATTTCAGCAATGTGATTCTACGAATTATTATTATATTTATTTAATTTAACGCATCATTTATTAAAATATTACCTATCAAGATTTTTATATTAGTAAAATGGGTTTTACTAACTAGTATATCCCAAAAGTATTCATTAAAGAATTAATAAATATTTTTTTTAATTAAAAATTGTAGAAGAATATAGTATCATATATTTTAATAAAAAGCTTTTGTCTTAAATTTTTACTTAATGCTAACGTTTACCTAACAAAATAATGTGTATCAGCATTACAATCATAATGAATCATTGATGCATGAATCAGTTCCTACTTTTCACAACATTGGCAATCTTGATGAACTTGAATGTACATCAATCTTTTGGGATGAATTTTACAGAGACTCATTTCAAATAACCTTTTGGAACGCATAATCGGTAGTGAAAGTCATGCTGCTCCACCATTATTGTGGCTCGACCACAGCATCTTAACCAGGCAATCTTGAAAATAGACTTTCCCTCCACAAGAATTACACTACATCACATTGATATGTTTAGTAACTCTAATCATGTAAGCTTTGAATATATACCACTTAGAAAATTTAACCACTGATGAGATGTACTGATACATTTTCTATATCGATTAATTCGTGGTCATGAGGTTGTTGTGAATATATAGAGGAATTTAAAGTATAAGTAAATATATGGCTCATTGTTTAAGACATTTTGTACATAATTATAATCTCAAGTCCAAATCTATCAATAAAATCATGAATTGGGTCCATTTGTAAAAGTCAATATGATATCAAAAACTTAGTTTCAGCAACAAGACTAAAAAGTATTAGTCAAGATTCTTGACATAATGACCTAAATAATTTAAGAATTTATTGATATATTTATCTTAAATTAAAATAGATACTGTTCTGATAAAAATATTAATATTTTACTAAAAAGAGATTCACTCACTCAATTTTAACTAATTTATTAATGTAATTATTAAATTTAAAATTTTCAATAAAAAAATCAAGTCTACAGAATTCTATAAAATTTATCTCATCAAATAACTTGATTTTAAAATACAAGCAAAGATCAACTATAAAATTATATTTCTACAAATCAATTTATTTAAAATTTGGCACGGATGAAATAAAAATAATATGACATAATTTAAAGCTTAAATTATTAAAAATATTTGTACTTAAAAATTTATTAAATAAAATAAATCATTAAGCCTTACTTATAAAATAAGTGTATTTCTGTTCTATTTTATTCATCATTTTATTAATATATAAATTAGATATATTAGGTTTTCTAATCATTTTATCAAATTTTTCTTGAAAATATTTTAAGCTAAATTATTAAATAATTAAAAGTATAACTGTATATAAAAAAATTTAAGAAATATTATAACTTTTTAAAAATAATTTATAATTTTTTATTATAATATCATATTTATAAGTCTTATTACATTTGATCTTATTGCTATGAATTATAAAATATTTAATTCAAATTTGATTATTTACTAAAAATATAAACTATTTGAAAAATTAAAATATATAAAAATTAGAGATTTTAAATTTAGTTAAACTATATATTTATAACTCTTTTTAAATTTACTTAACCATCTCTATTAAGTCATGCATAAAATATTGCTTAGAAGTTTAAACAAATAAAATAAAATGCAAAATAAAATCATACGTATATTATATTAATTAAAAATTATAAATGATTGTCTATCTATCTCTATAATAATTATCCAAGAATTGTGCTAATTTTAACTTTATCATTTCGGCAATATAGTTTATATAAATTTTAATTGTTTCATTAATGTTTTTTAACTTTTGAAGGTCATTAACTTGTGTTCATAAACTCAACTTGAATCGGCTGGATCAATTATTGAATATTTAAGGTTTTTATCTATTTTATAAGAGAATTTAAATAATTTATGTATTTTTATTTATTATGGAACTAATTAATTTGGACATCAAACTTGAAGAAGTCAAGAGGTACAAAATTTAAGAGTTGAAAATTCAACACTCATAAGTGGACATTTCAACACCCAACATCAACTTAAAAGCATGAAACTTCTAACATTAGGGCGTTTAAATTCTTAGAATTGGGTGTTTCAATGGTTAGCATAAAAAAAATAAAATTAAGTTGTTGTAGACATGCGAGCATCTCAACATCTAAAATTGGGTATTCCTTTTTTATTGTTTCTATGTTGTTTTTTTGTAAATACGTGTAACAATTTTATTTTAAATTAAGATAGGATGAAATTTTATATATTATTAATAATATTTCATTCTTATTGATTTCTTATTTTGCAAATTGATTAAATTGCTCTGTATTTAATGTTTTTTCTAGTTTGGTCAACTAAAAAATGATATAAAACTTCATTTAACAATTGATATATTAGTTTTTTAATTTAATTTAGTAATTTAATATAGTTGTTATGATATTGAGAGATTCGTTCAATGATTGTGATATCTTTTTTAGTTTTTGAACTATTATACATATATTAATATGATTCACATAAGATTAGGAAATTTTGGTTGATTTTATTGAGAGTTTTCATCAAAGAGATTGGAATTGACTCTATATTAGACAACTCAATCTTGTTTGCATGAATAGGATGTAAATAAGATAACTTTCAGTACAGGAGAATCAAATAAAAAGAATTTCAATCTTAATCTTAATCATTTTTATTAATTGATTTTTTGTGATAGTTTGTGTTGTTTATGTTACCATTCATTCAAATACAAAAATAAAAAATAGTTTTTCA